GTGTAGGCATAAAGTATGACAGCAGACGATAATAGCTAACCCACAAAACCACTGAGCCGAACAATATTTCGAAATTGTGAAGAATTTAGTAAAACCGATGACCCAAAATTACCCCAAAATCATCAGATTTTGCAAGCGCATTTGCAATAAATTCCAATAGAAATTCACACAAAAGACTAGGAGTGCAGGCAGAGTATTTAATCGCATTTTACGTCTAGTCTATGTTTCTATGAAATTCAAAATAATGTAAAAAAATGAGTAAATGAATAAAATATAATAAAATATTCATTACATGAACAAGTATGAAAAATATTGCAACAAAGCAATTAAAAATTTAAATTCCAACAACAAACACTGAAGCTATTGCAAAAAAATTTAAAGGCATCAGAAATTTTTATTTTCCTTACAATGCATTTGAAATTTTAATTATTTATAATTTTATTTTGTTTACAATTGTTTTTCAATCAGTAATTAATTATTTTATTTAAATTTATTTAACGTTAAAGAATTTTACAATAGAAATTATAATTGCTCTTGTATCAATACAACACATTTCTATGTAATTGAAATCATTTCAGCATCTGGAATTATAAAATTTGCTAATAAGGTAAATAATTAATACAATATTATTGAATAAAGAAACTCTTGAATCGTATTGAAAAACAGCGCTATATTTCAATAAAAACTGCAACAAATCAAAAAGTTTTTCATATGGAATACATATGGTATATAGCAGGGCTGTCCAAAGCACGGCCCGCGGACTACATGCGGCCCGCAGCTAATGTTTGTGCGTTCCGTGGCATGTTTACTACTACGATCTACTACGATTACCCAAATTTTCTTTTGATGTACTGGAAAAACTACATTATTTTATGGTTTACCAAATAAATTAATTTAAATTGATGAATTAATAAAACTAAATTTAACATTATAACCGTATTTTTATTTTTGTCGAAAACAACTATGATCGTATGTATTTGTTTCTGCGGCCCTCTAATCTGTACAGTGATTTGTATTGACCCGCGATCTCATCTAATGTGGACAGGCCTGGTCTATAAGAAATAAATTTCACGAAATAAATTTTGTAACAAAATCATAGACATCGTTAAAGTTCCTCAAAGAACAGTTGGAAGACCAATAGCAATATATTCTACGTTTTGATGCCATTCGTGCTCGAACTTCCGCTCAATATTCATTACATATTAATGAGGAATCTAAACTAAAAAGGTTTCTCCTTATTGGGTCACAACAACAACAATAGAGTTGTTACTCTCAGTATTATTGATAAACAGAAATTTGTTACAATTGACATAGAATAGGTTTATCACGCATTATTGTTAGTGACCAATTTTAGTTCCAATTGAATTTATTTAACAGGTCCATCATTTATCATTTTAACCATATTTTTTTCGCTTAAATTTAAAAACATTTCTTCTTATTATTATTAATTTATCATTTAAGCAATCCTTATATAAAAGGTATTACGAAAAGCCATTTGTGACACCATAGAGAAAATTTTTCTCGCATTTTTCTCAATACCCTCTATCGGAACTATCTGGTTTCCAATAGAAATTGATGTTTGGTCAACTGTGTTCATATCTGCCAATTCCTCCAAGTTCAAATGTCCCAAGAAGGTAACGCTATGTCTGAAAAGATCCGGACAGTGACTGAATATGTACTCAAGCTCTCATAGCGGATAATATGTGCTAAAACTCCCATAGCTTAACACTGACAAACACCCGCGCGGAGCGAAAAAAATTTGAATGGTCGTTATTTAGTCCCGATTATTTGAATGGAAGAAATATTATCCCATTGAAAAACAAGTCGGCCATACCGCTAATTTCGCTAACTAGTTATATGAATATAGCGATAAATATTAAGAAATTAATTTATATATCCCAACGAGTTAACCCTATGTCTGAAGAGAGCGTACAGTATCATAATATCGCCCCCACAGCGATTAACAGCGACGAGTCTAAAAAGAATACCGAAGTCAATATTCTCACAAACAGCAATAAGTTTTTAAAAAATAATTTCTTTTGTACTTTAACTTAAAATATATTATTAAGAACGGAATTCGACAAATCAGGTCCATTATTTCTGATGATATTAATTTTGTATTCATTAAAGAATTCAATTTAAGAAAAGAGCATTAAAAATCATTAGATAAAATCAAAATATGATTACAAACAATATATTGAAAGAAAAATCATCTATTCACACATCTTAATATCTTTTCACACAATTTCTTTCAACATAATCAATACTCAATCACCAAACTCCTGAACCATAATAGATCACAACTAGTGGAAAAAGAAGATTTTGTGTTTTGAATTGAAGATAAAATAAAATGGAACTGTACGATGTCGTCACAGGTTAGAATTATATACATTTTTATATAATTCACTTGATGTGCTAGTAAACATACAGTACTTTTAAGTTAAAAGCTAATGGAAAGGATCCGAAAAAATAGTTAATTTCAAACGAAACCCTTAAAAATGGAAAACATTATTTACAAAATTGAGTTGCACTTTCTGATATGGTTCAGATTGGTTTTAAACGGGTTATTTTTCAGCAAAAAGAAAAGTACTGCATTTACATGACTCATCTTCATCTTAAAAAATGGGAAAGGGAAACTACATGGTATAAGACTAATTATGTTATTATGAGTAAAAAAAGTATTTTAAATAAATTCTTCGAAATTGAAACAGTTTTTTGGGTAATTTTTTGATAAAAAAGTTTTTGCTTAAAAGTGCAATGTTATAAAACAACCATAAATACAATTGTACAATATATCAATCAGAAGGTATGAATCATGAAACAATTGAAACTGGTAGACATCTAAGAGTTATGTACTATTTATTCCAATCCTAAAAGACTCAGTTTTATTATTCATTTATTTGAGCAAAATTTCTTTAAAAAGTAATTAGAATAATAGTGTTAAATGAGTTTCAATTTTAAATAGACTATAAATAGACAACTATTATCTCTTAGTATATTCTATAATATAATAAAATATAAAATATTTTATAAGTAATATAAAAGTAAATAATATATTGTTCTATACTCTTAGTATTTATCGTGGAAAAATCCTTCAAAGCTGTAGAAGTATAGTTCGGTTTATTTAAAAAATCCGCAAAGCTTGCAATTTGCAGCATACTTTCGCCTTCAATAGTTATTACTAATACTATACTTTACTAATTTTTTATTTGAGATTACTAAATCAAACCAATCCGAAAACATTATGACCTGCTTAAAAAGATAACATGATTACGAGAAAAACTTTCCCAATATTCTCAAAATTTTGGTACATACCTAACTCTTTGCTCTTTTGATCTAAAGACCATGTCAGTTCATATCTACTCAAATTAAATTAGAAATCCAAACAAAAAATATTCAAATAAATATTTCAATCTTTTTTATAAATCTTAACAAAACTAAATGAATAATTTTAAAAAGCGTATTTTCTATAATTTTTATTTTTTAAGCGAATTTCCCAAAAAAAAACTTAAACTTTAACAGTATAAAAATCGTTGGGCATAACCTGTGACCCTACACTTTTTCAAAGATTTTGAAAAAAGTTTTCGGAATATTTATTGTGAAAAAAAATTATTCGGAATAATAAAAAGTTTTGATAAGATTTAAAAAAAAATTAAAAGCATAGTTTTACTGTTTTATTTCTTTCTTAAATCAGTTAAATATTTGAAATGCAAAATTTATTGAACCATAGCATTTTTTTTGAATATATCAATAACAATATATCAATTTTAGCTAAATTACATTTGCCGAAGAATAAAACATAATACATAGATTTTAAATAAACTAATATAACATAGTTTTATTTTTTAACCTTTCAATATCACAATGGGCCTAATTCTCTATACCTAAGTGAGCCGATTTTTCTGCAGAACAAATTGTCAGTTTCACTCTAACCTATCATTTGTTTAATATGCAAACTGCATATTAAACCGTTTTGTAAATGCTGTTTTAAGATTATTTTTTGTAAATTCAATATTTGGTGTTGTCTCAGAATACCTTTTCTTAAAAGGTTTTCCTTACCAACTTTCATCCTTAATCTATTTATTTTAATTTTTAGATCTTCTCTGAAATCTCTGTGAAGTTGAGTTTCATGGGTTACAGAAATACGACAATGAGTTATAATATAATAAAAATAAATTATATAGAACAATCGATTACTGATTATATAAAAAATTTCTGTAAAAGCTTTAGTTCAAAAAAGATATGTTTTTATTTCTAATCAAACATTTTAAACTGGAACTCTTAAAAAATGAAGATATATTCATTCTTCTTCTTTAAATTCATAAAATAAAAAAATACTACATCCTTCTATTTTTTTTTTTAAGTTTTATTTTTGTTGCATTTATCTAACATTTTTTTATGGCCCCCTAAATCTGAAGCAACTGAATAAATATTTTTACACTTTAGGAATTTGTATTTGTTTCTCTAATTCTACAGTAATTTTATAATTGAATTGCATAAGAGCATGTCAATAAGACAACTCTTGAACACATGATACCCACATAAATTGTAGCTTTGCGCTCACTTAAATGTTACAATATAAAAAGGTATTTGTGCAGCACAAAAGTGCGTTCTGAATGCACTACTAGTAGGTAGTGACGGTGCTGCTATTGTTGGTGATTCAAAGAAATTAAGTAAGCAGCAACAAAGATAAGATTGTATTTTGGTTATGCGTAGATAAATTATTTAAAAAATCCACACTGAGAAGTGGAAGTAAAACAAAATTTGATATCAAGACAAAGCAACACATTTGTGCTGGAACAGTAGAAACAAGTTAATACTCTGCGTTAAGAAAGTATAATAAAACAATTAAATAGTATAAATTTATTCTACGAAAAATGCCGAAATATGAATTTTCTTCACTTGTGTTTTAGTAGATTATGTATACAGATTTATAATGGGTAAGTTTGTATGGAAAGCGGAGAGCATATGCTGTATAGAAGATTAAATTTTGTACTTACCTGTGAATCATTAAAATTAAAATCGCGCTCAGCGCTTATGAAACCCAAACAAACGAGCAGCAGCGTTAATGTCATCATCAGCATCGCTGATAAGATGAATTCAAACTTTGGCATCATCACCTTCAGAATTCTGCTGCTGTTGCGCTTTTTGTTGAATAAATTTACGTGCGTGTGGGTATTCGAGTTCGTAGATTGTATAAATACTTCTTTAAAAAATTTTGTTTAAAACAAGAAACAACAAAAAACGAAAACAAATAAAATTGCTTAAAAAACAAAAAACTAAATCAAACAAATTAGCTTCCTCTAGCAAAATGCGTCAAGTGCGATTTAGTCGAAGTTTTGTTTTTGGTGTTCACTTCATCTGAAACAAAGAGAGAGAGAAGCAATGTTAAAATACATTAAATTTAAAAATTCACTCATAAAATTATATATATTTTTTTTAATTATCAAATAAAACTCTTGTGTGCGCTTCAAATTGACTTTTGTCGAACCTTGTCCTAAATTTTTAACAACATGCACTACACTTCATTAATTTGCATACATTTTGGAGAAGCTGGAAGAAGCATTTAATTGATACCAAACTATTTGAGATGAAATTCGTTGAATATGAATGAATGAAGTATGAGAATGAGGCTATAATCTAGTTTGGCGCAAAATGCTATCAATGGATTTTATTGGAAATGCAAATAAAATTTCCGATTTCCGGGGCAATGCAATTTGACAATTCATTTTGGTGAAGTACAATATTTTGAGCAACTTTTTTGACTACCATGTAAGCTGTTGTAGTTTAGTATTCAATATATTAACCTTTAGAATTGCTTTCATTACTTTCATTAAGTATCTTAACAAAAAAAACTCCGCGCCATCTAGCGGAACGCACACTTATGTTTAGTATTTTTAATTAATTATTATTACAACCAATTTACAAGTTTTGTATATAAAAAAATTTTTTAAAAAAATTATACTTATAAATTTGTGTTATTTAATACAATTAATAAATTATATTTTAATTTTTATAAAAAATATTTACATTATAGATATTTCGGTTTACTTCGTAGACCATATTCAGTGTACAATCTGTTTGGTATTTTTCTTATAAGAATTTGGAACCTTAGAACCCGATGTTTTAAAAACCAATGTAACATAATGGAAAACATTCCTATAAATTTTAAAATTAACTAATATCCATTGTCATAACACAACGCCCGGAATAGTGACTGAAACGTCATCAGTTGCAAATGCCAGAGATGAAACACGCTGTATTGGTTGTCACTTTACTGAAGTACTGCAACGATGGTTAATCTTTTGTGCAACAAATTAACTCTAGAACACGCTCTGCCCTTCAAATGAAAGTCAGAATGTCTCTTTTTCAGGACATCCTAACATTAGATTAGGTTGAAATGGCAGCTTTGATGCACCATTTGTTTACATATAATAACCCGTTGTGATTCAGGAATAACGTTATTGATAGGTAAGACGTGGAAACCCACTAAGAAAGATGAAAAGGCCAAAGCGGTGAGTATACAAATAATACCAAAAAAAAATCAGTCGGCCCTGCCTGTTAAAGTAAAAAATGAAACAAGCAGTGAAGTCTATAAAGTGTGTCATGTCTGATTAAGGACATAGGATGACTGATCTATCTAATCAGTAAGAATCTACCACCACTAATCTTCTACTGGCCGAAGACAGACATTGATACCTAAGTTTAAACAAAAAATTCTTATCAGGGGAATCACAACCATGACGAAATTATTTATAAGATAGACTAAATTTTATTTTATATTTATATATAATATATATAAATACAGTCAAACTACTAAAACTCGAATAACTAAATAGAGTGCAACAGGGTTTAGAGAGTAAATTACATACAATTACCAAAAAAGTCTCCATAAGTCGAACCTTTTCTTGACAAAATGGTACTTCGAGTTATAGAAGTTTGTCTGTATTTAAAACTTTTTTTATATTTACAATTCTTATACAAATATTATTAAATATTGAGTGTAGTTAGATACGAAGTATGCATATACTATTAATAGAAGGTGCACCGGTTAACAACATTTATCTAGTTACAAATAATACCATGGATAGGTATAGTTATATATACCTTGAAAAAATTTTATTTAATCAAATTCTTAAAACCAAAAAATGCATTTAATGTACATTTTTAATAGACTGATTTATCATTATATATTATTTATAAAAGATATAATTATCAATTGTAGATAAAAAAATTAAACCTTTAAGTTTATCAGCGACGTCTTCGCAACCCATATCATACTAAATTGACCGATAGTATTGTTATTTACTTGCATGGAAGAAAAAATTGTTTGATTTAATTTGCATTCAAAGCAGTATTTTACGTTCTCCCAGACAACTCCAAAAAGTTACTGGGTTACAAATTTATTAGTTTCTTTAAAAATCTTTTGAATTTCTAACTTTTATTTTGAATTTTTTTTTGCTTGGGTCCAATATGTTAAGTCCCTGTATTTATGTTTAGTCTGTAGTATTAAAAAGGTTACCTATACTCTGTAATTTTCAAAAACTCTGCGATTTTTCTAATTAATATCGGCGTAAATTATTTATATCTTAAAATCCATAACAATAATGCATATACCGTAATAATTAAGAGAATTTATAATGATTGAACATTTAACATAATAAATAGCACAGTAAAGACATGTTATTAAACCTAAATATTTAAAACGTTTAAAAATATTTTAGACAAGTCTGCAAGAAATATTTTTCAGCTATGGAAGATCATTGCAATCTTAGACACAATACAGAGTACCAGAACCATCCGGCTTCGTCTACCAAAGTGTGGTTGGTATTCACTTTTACTATAGTTTACCCATTTGTAAGAAAGGTATATAACCTGAATGGCTACAACACCAACATATTACAATAAAATATAAAGTAGAATCGATCTATAAAACATGTTACTTTTTAATGATTATTTTTTTTTTTGTTAATAATATGTAAACAAAAACCTTTCATGACATAAAAAGAAATGAGAGCACTCGACAAACAATTTAATCACACTATCGCCTGTTAACAAATTGATTGACATATCAATACAAATCTTTACATGACATTTAGGTGCATTGGCACGCAAACATTTTCTATATATTTTATTGTACAATATGTATATGTTATATGTATTTCCAATACTGAACTATGGGTGCGCATACTATCTAAAGTGTCATTTCCTAAACTTATTTACGTATTTCACGTATTTACGATTTTATGTTTATATAAAAATGTCTATATTTTGAAAATACTAATTAGTGCGGACATTTTTCTAATATATTTTTACAATTAATCTTATGCCTGTTAACCTATTATTTCCAAATTGATCCCAAAAACTTTAAATTAAATTCCGACTACCATTTGTTTTCATCGATGAGACACGCATTGGCTGAGCAGCACTTTGATTCCTACGAGGAGGTCGAAAATTGGGTGTCTGGTTGGTTTCCTTTAAAAGACGAACAATTTTTTTGGCGTGGTATCCACAAATTGCCAGAAAGGTGGTCAAAATGTGTAGAAAGCAATGACCAATACTTTGAATAAAATGTTTCTTACTTTCCTATTAATAATTAGTGTTTTATTTTCACCAAAAAACGCTCATTTCATACCGGTACACCTGGTAAAAGTACATTTAGGTAGTATGTTTCCTTATTATGTGGATTTTTTATTTTCTAAAGTATATTATTTTAAATAATGTGTTGTATATTATTACTTTATTTATTATATTACAAAATTTAATCATTTTAATTTATTTATATTTTTACAAAAGCTTAACCTATAACATAAGTCAGCAATATCTGACAAGACTCTTAGGAACTAAATAAGTGTATTCAGCAACAGGACCAATATAATACGACTAATATGGTATAGTATTAATACGGATAACTTCAAATTATACAGAAATAATAGGGTTTACTTTTAAATTTACATGAAATTTAAAGTGCTATCGTTCTGATAGCACAGAACATGTATACTGAAGGATACAAATACACTAAGTTCAGTACACACTTTAAAAACTCTTTAAAAAAGGATTGATATCCCTATTCCAAAAATTGACAAATTGAAAAAAAAATGTCCACCACAATAGAACTTAGGCCCAGCCAGATCAATTTAAGCAAATATAACACACTTTGGTGGTATAGATTATCAACCACAAAAATCCATGTTTTGCTCTTCCTGATATTCTTAGGGATTTTATCTGATTTAGACCCAGCCAGATCAATGTAAGCAAATCTAACACACTTAGGTTGTATAGATTATCAGATTACAAAAATCCATATTTTGCTCTTCCTGGTATAGTTGAGACCAATAGGACCAATAAACAAATCTAACACACTTAGGTTGTATAGATTATCAGACTTTCTCTTTGCAAATGGAAGTGGTGATGCTCAAAGTTGCTGTCGACATATCTTCGAAATGACACATACCATATTGGAAGCTACATATTATGAGATTTTTTACAAAGTAGAGAAACATCTAGCAAAGTATGCAGTCAATTACACTCTCTATATATCTTACTAAAAAGACTCTTCTCCACAGCTTTGAACGAAATCAAACAAGTAAGATCCTAACCGGTTAAACGTTATAGTTATAGGCATTTATAGTTATACTATGTTACTTGATTACTGCGCTCGTTACTTGTAAATACCCCTTTATTATATATATTTGTCATTCAAGCATTTAAATATATGTTCAACATTACTATTAGGAACCGATAGATTATAGATTGGATTTAAATGCAGTGTGTATGTAAAAAATTGTGTATCTAACCTTTTCGTAGGTTCGATTAAATGTTATTGTTAGAGTCAATCAGGTTGAAGAACCTATTGAGACCCAATGAATTTATTGTTATACATCTACTTAACACGAGACCTTAACTGCTTCATAAGCTTCATAAGTATTTAGATAATTAAAAAGTATCTTTTTTTGATCTGTTTATAAAAGCGTAAATTATGACTATTTATTAATGTACTACAATAAATCACAATCGGCTACATACCATATTAAGCAATGGGAATAGGCATTTAATATATTCAAAAATATAAATAAATTTTACTATTTAGGTGTGAAATTAGTGTAAAAAGATATATTGTTAGGTGTGTCTGTTACGATATTTCTTTTGTCTGCATAGTTAAATCTTATATTTACTTTTTAAAATTTGTCTAAATGCTTTTTATGGTAAAATTGTTACACAAATTAGTTAAATAAACTAAAACTAATTTTTGACTAATTGATTTATAGTATGTCGTTTAATCTATAATACAACCTTGAAAATAACAAATGATTCATAGTAGGAAGATATCTGCCTGCTATACACTTTAAAAGTTTCCAACT